ATGGATTCTGTGGATCATGGGACAGTGGCGTGGGTTTGTGGATGGCAGGTACCAACAACCATCGTGGCTGCTCCTGTTCGTGCAACCTGCGCTCTTGCTGATTAGTGATAGCGGCACGACGAAGGCCTCCGTGGTGCAGCCAAGTCCAGCTCCGGCCACGGCTCCAATTCCAGACCCAGCTCAGCGTCAGCGCGTCCGCCCTTCTCTCCGCCGCCTCAGCATCTCGCGCAGCTCAGTTGGGCATTCTGGTGGCCTCGCTGTGTCAGTCTGCTCGCCCTGTTCCTTTCAGAGCCTCACGAGGCTGCTAGTCGGCGGCAGCGTGTCGTTGCTCAGCATCCTGTCTGAGCTGAAAGGCACGTGTCAACCGGCGGCGAGACATGGCCAAGCAGCAGCCAAAAGGGGGGGGCCAGCATGACCCGCGCCCATGCTCCCGGGCCAGCAGAACCGACGAATTTCGGGTCTGCCACACCCTACTGCAGCCTTGCTGGCATCATATCGTGCAGGGGTCACGGTCACAGAGGCGACGCATCACACCAGGCCCGACGGCTGCCCACGGCGCAACTGCAGTGCTACCGATGCAGTTGGGTCGCTGCGAGCTGCGGTCACCGTCAGTCTCACAACAGCTAATAATAACAGCCGCTTCTCAAATGCTCCTTCATGGATCCAGCTGGTATAGACGGTCGGCCACGGTATGCAGCAGTCGCGTGATTAGACACAGAGCCGGGCCTTGCATCGCGAAGTCGTATCGGCACTGGCCCAATGGCCCAATGGGGGCGGATCGCACGCACGTAAAATGCACTGGTGCTGGCAAAGGCCACCAGGTGGGAAGACACGCGGGTGTCAGCACTGACCGCCCATCCGTCGACCGTTCCGAGTGGCGCCCCCGGGACACGGGGCCAACAAGGGCGCGAGAAGCAGCCCGCCATCCCGTCTACCTGGTTCTCGGTACGAAGTCGACCTCGTCGCAGAGCTACGTCAAGCCAGGCAAGCCAGGGCAGCAAAAGTGGGTACTTGTCGATTCATGCAGACGCTTGTTGAGCCACTGCGATCGGCGGCAGGTACACTTTCGCTGGCTGGCAAGTCGGAAGCGCCGAACGGCCGCTCGCCTTCGCCTGATTTGCTTGGATACGAACCATTGGCGGCGATCAATTGGCCTGCCCCCAGGTTTGGTATCTTCGGCTGACAACGAGCTCTGGCCCTGCAGGGAACCAAAGGACGCGGCAATATCGACCTCAGGGCCGCCCTCGCCGAGACACACCGTGGCAGGCACAGAGGGCCCGCGTACCAGTCCGATCGGGTGGATGCACAGTCCCGTTGCCAGCATGTTGGCAAGTCTGGGCAGCCGCGAAAGGACGCGAACCAGGAAATGCGTGAGACGTGCGCCCTGCCGGGGCCCGCAAGTCGTCCGTGCCTTGAATGTTTGTGGGCCTTGGCACCCAGCGCTCGCTCCATGAAGCATCCGTCTTGTGCTGGCAAGCTTGGGTCCGCGGCTGCGGTGACGGGTTTCGTGGATAGAGTACTGTCGCCCAGGATATTCGCACCGACTTCGTACGACAAGGTAGCTACGGGCGCCTACTTAGGTGTAGTACTTTCGTAACGCGTACATGTCTGCGCCGCTACTGAAGTCGGTGCTGGGCACCCTCTGATACTTGAGAGTCACGCTCTCGGCGCTTGGTGTGGTGCGGCCAGGGGGGGGCAGGAGTGCATGATACCTTCCTTGGAATCCTTGCCTTGGCTTGCTTGGCTTGCTTGTCTGCAGGAGCTGCGGAGCTGCCACTGGGTGCATGTTTACATGCTCGGTTGCGCTCCGTCCCGACCTCTGGGGAACCTGTCGATCCTCCTCGCTTATCGGCCGCTGTCGACCGGTGGCGATTTCAATATCGACAGTCGCTGCCCGGAATCCAGCGAGGCAAGTCAGGCTTGCTTCTCTGTGCGGAAGAGAGGCGCAGCACAGCGTGTTTCGCAAGCGAAAGGTCGTCTCCTGCACGTTCCGGTCGTCACGGCGCCCTTGTCGCGCCATTGACTTCCAGTTTGCTGGGGAACTGGCTTGTGACGGAAGGGAATCCCGGGTGCCACGCATCCGCCCCCCGTTTGCGTCCGAGGCCGGCAGAGTGCCTGCTCCCCTGACCCCGATGTGCGTCTTCGTCGTGCCGCTGCAACGAGCGTCCAGACTCTGGGCCATGCTCCTGAGGTTACCCTGTAGCTCATCTTACACAGCACGATCGGGAATCCGTGATGCCCAGTCCTAGACTACGTGCGACGCGCACCTGTGATCCGAGGGGCTGTACCGACTTCGGCGGCCCGAATGTCCTTGCCGACAAAATCTGCCGGTTTCCGCGCCAGTCCAGACGTAGGTTCTCGGGGCGGCATCGCACCCATGCCATGATCACGGCTAGGGCACCCAACGACAGCCTACGCCACCGCGCACCATGGAGCACGACGGCCCGTTAGAGAGCAGGCCATCGGCGGCCGACTCAAGGCCGACAGTCTGCGCAAGCGACACCTCGGCAAACTCGGGCATCATTGTATAAGGGGCGGTCGGCACGTAAGCCAGTTTGCCACGAACGTTGCGTCGACAGTTCCTGGGCTGCTGTGCTCAACAGATGCCACGACATACAACACGTTACACAACTCTGGCATGGCGTATTCGGGCCACGGAAAGCATACCGAAAAGCCACCCTGCTGGCCCGAAAAGCGCTTACGTACGAGGCAGGCCTTCAGGCCACCCTGCTTCAATGGGCTGGGATGCCCAGTGTCCTGCTCTTGCATATCCCAGACCAAGTATTATGTAGAAACAGGCCACCTGCTGGATGACAGGAAAATTCACGCCACCCGCGGCCGGCACATTATACCCCTCGGCCGAAGGCATCAACACATGTGAAGACGTGCCGCAACCCCAGGATATGTACCGGGCAACACCGGCGACTCGCGGGCCATGGATGCTACGGGACATCCGGCGGGCCTTGGACCAAGTCTCGGAGTGGCAAAGCCCCCTCTCCCCCAGCTGCCGTTACCCGGGTGGGAGGAATATGACTTGAAGCCACGTTCCAAAGGTATCGTGAGTCGACGTCGGCGCCTGGTCCCCAAGCTGCGAACGAAGGGGAACAATGAAATATATCTCCTCGAATTGCGCTGCAAACCAGCAGGTAATGTACACCTGATCGTAATCTCCCGAATTCCGCACCATCGGTAGGACGGGGCGCTGCTCAGCTGCTCCCAATGACCTTCTTAGAATCTTCCTCCTTGCCCAGCAGGCCCAGGTTCCGTATTTGCCTGGCGCTCGGGGCATCGTCTCGGGGCGTCGCCGACTCAGATCGCGCGTATGCCGCCTGCATGGCCAGCGCTCTGGCGTGCTGCACAACCAGAAGCGAGTTAGCGTTGTATCAGGTATCTCGCCCGGGTGACTTGACGGACCTCCTTCTTGTGGTGAAGGCACTCGTAGTAATCTTCTAGCACAGGCGAGCACTTTTTCTTGCCCGAGTCGTCCTCTGCAGATGTGTTGACGACATAGCAGGCCATGACCTCTTGCCAAAAGGGAAAGCAGCGGCCAACGCCTGGCAGAGACGAGGTGGTCAGTTGTCAAATCAATGTTGCGGCCAGTCGCGGGACTCACCACCGTGCATTCCATATCCGGACGCCATCGCAGACCGATGCGGAAGCTCGCTTTCTTGTGTGCAGCTAATTTGGCGTCGAGATTGGGCGCTGCTCGTCGGCGGAGTGCGTTGCTGGATGGGCTTGCTGCGGATGTCGTCGTCGTGGCCGTCGAGACTTGAGAGTTGGTTGAGAGGATTGTGCTTGTCGGGTTGCGCCTGCGTGACACGGGAGCGCGGCGGGTGGGCGACCGGCTAGCACTCAGTACGCGGATTTGCTCCTCTGGGGTCCGCAGGCCCCAAGTACCTTGCGTTATTATGGCAATTGCACCCTCCACGATTGGGCGATGGGCCGGGGCTCAATCCGCCGCGACGCAATTGGTGCATGAACCCGCATAGCGCATATTATTGCATGAATGCGAGACGCGGCGACCACACCGCACCCCGATAGTAGAGCAACGCTCGAGAGAGGATGCAGTGATGCACCCACGCACTAACATATAACGTATTGTCGTGACACCTTGGCCCGACGACGACTGTTGAACGGCACAAGCTGCCTGCCTGCCCGCCACGAAACCACACCAGACTGGCTGACGACTGTCACTCTCCCCGGCGGGCGGTATAGGCCGAGGGACATTCCCCCCCCCTTTTTTTTGTTTATTTCCCCTCTCCCGGCAGGTTTGCGTGGAACAGAGGTATCACCTGGGCCCCTACTTCCTTGGTCCTGACCTCCGCGACGTACACGAGATGCAGTAGGGAGCTGGACCTTGGAGTTGGAGTTGAGCGGCATCGCAACCGATGACCCAGACCAGCTACTTGGTCACCGCCTACTTATTACCTGAGGTACCTGCCGAGTGCCCGCCTTACATCACGGCGCCCTCACCTCACCTTAGCTCATTTTCTACTTCGTAGCTACAGCCACAACCACAACCACCATTGCAGCGGCAACCTTGACTCAACGTCACCTCGTCGACCTCGGTAACGCACTCACCCGTCCACTTCTTCCTTTCGGGGTAACGAGGCGCGCACCAGGCCCTGCTCGCGACCTCCGGGCCTTGCTTCGCGCAGAGTAGATGCCGCCGAGATAGACTGCCTGTGTCCATCCGCCAGAGGCACCAGCGAGGCGACGCTCACGTCTCTCCACCACGCGCCCTCGCCAACGCCATGTCTTGCACCTTGCTGTCGCCTGCCAAGGCGCTGCTGCTAGCCGTACACCTGGCAGCCCACGCCGACATTGACGCCCTGCGCCTCCTTGCAACCCGCCACCCAGCGGTACTGCGGAAGCATTTGCTGCTGCGCATTCTACTCACCGCCCTCCCCGAGACAGCAGACCCTGCGTCGTACGTTGGACTGCTGCAAGAGATCGAGGCCGGACGCTTTCAGGACTCTACTGTGGATGAGCTCGACTGCTCCCCAGTCAGCGCAATCCCCGAACATGAAGCGGCGCAGAGGGCTAAGAGGCTTCACCTCGCCCAGCTGCCCCACGCTGATGCCCCTGTACAGGGCGACGACGACGACCTCGCCTGCTTCCTCTTTCATCGGAGCCTCAGGATGGACTCAGAGACTGGCATGCTCTCCCGGATCCCGGACCTGCTCATGCCCTTCCTCCGTCACAGCCCCAACCTCCGGGCTTGGGTAGTCTCCACCGTCCTCCCCTTTGTTCGGAGGAATGCCGAGTACTATGCAGAAGCACACGTGGCATACTCACTATATGACTTCCAAAAGCTTCCCGGGCCCCATGCTGTCGGCTACCTACTGTCACGAACCGGTCATGGTGCGCCAGAGAACCCTACTTACGTCGCTCGTGATCTCAGGGGTCTGCTGATGCCATGGTTGCTGGACCGATCCCGCTGGACTCTCGGTGACCAGGGGTCCCGGACTCCCAACGACGAACCCGCAGTCTCTGACCCCAATTGCTCGGGATGGCAGCAGGCCATGATCTGGTTGACGACGCAAGCCGTCGACTCGTGGCAGGTGTTCGTCAGCGCTGTCGATCACTGGGATGGGCCCGCCGACGTCGATCTTGGGCATGGTGTCGACGACCTGTTGCTGCAAATCCCGCACCGGCAATATCTCCTCCAGACCTATGCCAGGACTGTGGTTGCAGCGTTATTTCTAATACCGGATGCGTCCCAGGAGTGCCTCGCCGGCCTGTACCGAGCTGTTCTCAAGATTCGATCCATTCAGGGGCTAGGCGACGAAGACGTGCCACTGGAAGACGCACTTGCTCTTCTGCCTACCGGGCTTAACGCCGAGTCCGTGGCCCTGCTTGACGCCAAGTCTGCATCTCACACCCGAAACGACCTGCTGCAAGGATGGAACCCCCTGACATCGCCCACGGCCTCGTCCACCAGTCTCGTGCTGATGCTGGCCCTAAGCGCGCTCATTTTCACCAATACTGGGGTCCCTTGTTCTGTGAGGGGAGCGGCAGACTTGGTCTTCCTAAGAGACGTGCGAGAGCAGAAGGCGCAGGTCGCAAATTTGGTTCGGGCAGTGTCCTCCAATGCGCCCCATGGCGAGGACGAGCAGTATTGGATTCGGGCCAGACTTCAGATTTTATGGCTAAGGAACTGGTGCAAGCCACCGACCCATGACGCCTGTACCCCAACTGGGCCCATTGCAGCCGTTCCCAGGTCCTTCGTGGAAGGCGAGATTCTCAAACTTTTCCTTGCGAAGTCATGTATGTTGTCTTGTTTGCATCTCGCCTCCATCAACAGCTGACTTCGCTTCAGGTTACAATCTTGCGCGGTCCGTGTACGAAGACAGCGCAGACCTGCCGTTGGCCACAGATATGGTACAAGACGCCGTGTATCAGGCAGCTTTGAATGCTTTCGATAATGCTTCTAACCCTAATCGAAGCCGAGGAGGGCTCAAGAGATGCGATGATATGTAAGGCTATCTGGGCCATCCGCCATAGTTTGCCACGGGGCTGCCGCAGCTGACAGGTTCTCACTAGCATTCGTGCATTTCCCAAAACCATGGGCCCGAAACTTCCAGGCGCCATTCGCCTCCAAGCCCTGTTGAAGGCAACACATGCTTTGAGCGATTATCGCCTTGTCCTCAAACAGGGTGAGCCATTCAGCCCGGTGGTTCTGCGAGTCCACTCAGACCCCATTGCTGTGATTGGGAAGGTCCTAGAGCAGAACGACAAGGCATACACCCGCCTCCAGGAGTTTCTTGAGATGGGATTTAACATGGTGCGGGCGGGTTTGCCGTCTCAGGGCGGGTCGGACAAGCCTCGAGAGCCGACAAATGAGCGCCTCGGCACTGACATGTTCGTGGCCGAGAAGCGTATTATTGCAATGTGTGTCGAGGCCGCCCTGCGAGAAGACGACTTTGAGACCGCGTACTCGTACGTGGTTAGTCGGCTTGGGGCACCTGACCCGGGGGATATTCCCGTTCCCTACGATGGGTGGTCGTGGCAAGCAGCTCTGAGGGCCGGGCAATACGTCCGAACGGAGCGGTCGCAGCAGCCGACTCACCTGGGTACCGCCAGCGGTAACCTCGAGATCCGACATCTGGAACAGCGAATAGAGTGTCTGGCGACAGCTCTGCGAGTTGCCCCGACAAGCGAGCTCCAGGAAGTGCTTAAGAGCTTCCGGCGGTGCGAAGAGCAGCTCGACTCCGCCATCAAAGAAGAGGCGGCCAATGAAGCGGCCTGGGATGCTGCGGGCAACGTGGCATATCTTCCAGGTGCCTTCGATATCCCCAGAACAGAAAGTCTGCACCCACCACGCAACATCACTGCCGCCGCAGCTGCGCGACAGGCAGAGGAAGCCCCGATGTCCCTCTTTGATCTATCGCGCGCAACAGCTAGAGTTGCTCAGCGCAGCTTTACCGGGCTCCCGAGCCTGCAAGGCATGACCGTCGGCGGCAAGCCGGAGGCAGACAACTCCAGCCAACCTCGCGTCCGCAAACGGGATCAGTTGAGGGACGCGGCAGCCGGGACGCTCGTGTCGGGCGTTGGATGGCTGATTGGAGCCAATGTGCATCAAGGCACGAAGGAAGGTGGTTGATGTTGCTGGCCAGGGAGGGACAGCGTGTGCCGCAGCTCCTGCTCTGAGGTACCGCTTGGAAGCAGCAATAGATTTCCCTTTGACGGGTACCAACGTCAGCGGACGGCCTGTGTAATTTGACGCCGGTTTTCGTCTTCAAAACAAATACCAGTGGGCGTCGGATTTTGATGTAGCTAATCTTGAATCTACCATGCTCAACATGATGCTTTTGGGCTTAATTTGTACTACATGACTAGGCGTCAGGTTGTGGCCCCAAGTGGGAGGGGGTGCCAACGGGACACCAGCCAGGGACTACGGTGGATAAAATTACACCATGTAGATGCATCCCGGCAGTGCTTGCATCTGGCCGAAATTGTTGTTATGGTAGGTGGAAACCTGTTCAGAGACGACGGCTTGAGCACCATAGCTTGAGCTCCGGGGCTGGCAAAGCTGACCCTGTCCCGCCGCGGCTCGACCCATCAGGCGCAAGACTATGCCCTGCGATAAATGATGGCCGGCCAAGCTGGTGGCCCAGCAATTGCATCTGGCCTGATAGTTTGTGCGCTTTCCTGTCCAATTAGCGCGACTTTGGATTTGAAAGAGTGGATGAGAGCTTGCAGCCTCAAGAGGCAACGCCAGACATGGCGCGATGCCTTACCTGCCCGTGCTGGGCGCATTCGGACCGCAGAAGGGTGACAAAGCGGCGGCAGCTGTTGCCGTTGCCATCGCAAGATGCATAGCTCTGATCCAGATCTAGCGAGCTGGGAGCGTCGGCACGAGTTGATGAGATGGCGATGTGGCGTTTACGGCGAGAAGCATGCTGATTCCCTTGTGGGTGACATGTACACAGTCAATCCCGGATGGACAAGCGAGATTAGTCAATGGCGAGAAAATCGTCGTCATCGTCGATGCTGCGCTTAAAGCTAGCCGCGGTCGGATTCAGATGTGATATTTGATACATGAGGCTGGAGCAGCGAGTTGATGCAGCCGTTGTTGTGATTATTGATCCAGGTTTACACTGGTCAAAGACGAACCGAGGTCGGTGTCTGTTGCGTTTGCTGTGCTGCCATTGCTACCAAAGGTGCTGTCGTGCAACGAGACCAGGTTGACGAAGTGATTTGAAACTGCGAGATCCGGAAGTTTCCATACGTGGTCCTTCCGAAGCCCTGTCGCTTCAAGATCGACACGCAAGAAAAAGAAAGAAAACTCCATAGGCGCAGGCCGAGATCTCGATACCGTCCCCCTTGAATCCTCAACGACACTGGTGCGCATCGCACAAACTCCTGATTGAGCTGACGACAAGGGAGTCCACTTCGATCGGTGGAGAGAGCGACTGAGCAATAACAAGAGACAGGGAAAGCAGATAGAAACACAAACGGCCCAGGAGTGAAAGCATGAGCCAGGCACCAAGGGTCTGCAACGGCTTGGTGCAAGAGACAGTCGATTCTCGCCATTCATGCGATTATCGTGCCGAGGCCTCAGGACCTGGACTGATTAGCAGGGACGAGAGGAAGTGATGCGCATTAATATTGCGAACCTGTGTACGCCTCACGGGCGTCGGATCGCGAGCCGGACTCGCCATAGCCAGAGCCGCCTGCAGCAGGCTCTCGGGAGCGAGCAGGGTCGCGTTCGCCCTGGCGATCATATCGTTCGCGGTCATAACCGCCAGGTCCACCGCGCTGAGCGTAGCGATCGCGGTCTTCGCGACCACCGTATCGCTCGCGACCATAGTAGTCGTCACCGCGCTCGCGACGTTCGTAGCCACGCTCGTAGTCACGTCCGTAGCTGCGGTCATCGTAGCGTCGTTCCTCGCGGTAGCCGCGGTCGTAGCCACCTCTGCTGTCATCGTAGCGGCGGTCATCGTATCGACGCTCTTGGCCACGATCTCCGCGGTAGCGGTAATCATCGCGGCCAGATCCGCCTGGACCTCCACCGTAGCCGCCTCGCCGACGGTCATCGAAGCGAGGACGAGGGTCTGGCAAACAGTTAGCAGACTGACAGGCAATGGGGCACTTTAGGAAATACGAACCTCGCTTTGGTGGTCCAAAGTACTTGCCAGGCGTAGGGGTGCGTGGCCGAGCACGTCGAGCCTTCTCGATGCTCAGAGTGCGGCCTTCAATCTGCTCTCCCTGCAGGCCTTCCTTGGCGGCCTCGGCCTGCTCAGAAGTGACCATCTTGACAAAGCCAAAGCCACGCGACTCCTTGGTGTGCGGGTCACGCATGATCTGGCATTTCTCGACATCGCCGTACTTCTCGAACATCTTGGACACCTCGGCTTCCGTGAGACGAGGATGAATACCCGTGACGAAGAGATTGGAGCCAGGGTTGATGGCGCCGTCGTCGTCGTCATCCCGAGGGCCAGACGAGGTCTTAGGGCCACTGAGGGCGAGTGGTTAGCTTTTTGAGCACTCGAATAGCAAGGACGATTTGGAGCTTACTTGTCCGCGTTTCCATTAGGCGAAGCAGAGCGGCGACGGCCGCCATCATTGTCATCGCGAATGGGTCGGGGGGAGGCGCTTCGGTTGTCACGCTCATACCGAGGGGGCTCATCTGCGGAGTCGCGTAAGCAATCTTGTTCACCACGCCTGGGACATATCCTGGCAGGCGGCATGTCGACCATCATGATGAGCGACTAGCTCGCACATGGCATCGTCGCTCCGCCGCGGCGCGCACGACACCGATATTAGGGGCGGTGATGCGCAATCGGGGGCGCGTGGGGTGTTCTCGTACCGTCATACCGATCGCCACCTGCGGCTTCGTAGTCCATCGCGGTGGTTGCCATGGCAGGCGACTAGAGAAGGCGTATGGTGACGGCGAGGATGCGTTACGTGATGTCCTGCTGGCTTTCTGAAGCCCTGTTTTGATGCCGGAGAGCCTGTGGCGTGTTGGCGATGGGTTGGTGGAGGAGAAGAGATTAAACGGTGTGCTGGGGTTGATGGGGTAGGTGACGGGGAGAGGGAAAAAATGGGCACGCGCGAGGCGACATGAAGGCGAGGGAGGCAGGCACTGGCGCCACGGCCGGAGCGCACGTTTTGGATCAGGGCGAGCGGGTGGGCGCCTGAGGCCGCAATGGCTGAGTCAGTCGCTGCTGGCCAACCACAGGTCCGGCGACGACACCACGACGACACGGCAAGGCAGACCAACCAAAGGAATCCGTCACTTGCATGCCAGGCCTTCGTACGTCGTACAAAGAGGCATAGAGGCCCTCTGTCTTTGTTCCCGATGCAGTGCGAAGCGGCCGAGGACAAAGGAGCAGCGCCGCCAGGTTGCCACGACGCCCTGTGCCCGCGCCGCAACGCAACCATTTCCAGACATCGTTGCTCCCGCCGGACTCGTTGGACAAAGGCGCCAGCCAGCAACGTCCAAGTTGACCCCAATCCCGCCCGTCTCTGCCACGCCTTGACGCTGACGAAGCGCACTGGACGAGCTGTGGAGCGTTTCACAGGTCCATCGCCGGATAGACGTGATGCCCGGTAGCAGCGTCCGCCTGCAACGCGCCCTTTGCGTCAATGCGTACCTCGTCCCCCGTCTCGAGAAACTCCAACGCTTGCGTCGCCTTTCCGTTGCAAGCTTGCTCCAATGCGAGCCTCGCAAAATGTCCGCCTACCACCGGTCGCGCCATGAATCTCGTCGGCGAGTAATCGCCCTGGCCTTCGGTGTCGTACAAGTCGGTCAGGGGGCGATCTGAATGTACGTCAATGACCAGAGCCAGACGCATGGCCCACAAACGTGAGTCGAAGCTGGGGCCAGGGCCGGTGCCTTGCCAATTGAGATGGGTGTGCATTCTCACTCACCAGTCACTGTCTCGTTGACCCATAGAGCCATGCTCTTCACCACGGCTTTGCGCGTCTCCCTGCTTGCCACCGCCGCTGCGAAGAGTTCCCAGTCGCTTTTCGCATACAGATGCCTGCCATCAAGCGGCAAGCCGTACCGCTGGAGGACTGACTTGTACCACTGACTCTGCATGCGGTACACCCGGTCCGGGACCAAGGCGTCGGCTGCGCGCCGGCTGAGCGGCTTCTGCGGCCCTGGGGCGATTGAAGCGGCGTTGCCCGAGACGCGGAAGCAGAGCAGTGAATCGGCAAAGAGGTTGTAAAGAGTCGTCCAGGAGCCATACCAGGTGTAGGCCAGCTTCGCGTGAGTCCCGTCCCGTGATATACCATACTCCAGCCATTTGTCAATATAGGCGCGTGAAGTATCCTTGTAGTGCTGGGCAACTTCCTTCTCCCCAACCACCAGCGCCATCTCTGCCATGGCTCTGATGCCGATGATGCCTTTGAGGGCTAGGTTTGTCTGGTTGGCGAGCCAGCCCGCAAAGTCATCGGTACTCAGCTGGTTCCGAGGAATGAGGCATTCGCGGACGAGATAGCCAGCCCATCGCTCCCATAGTTGGTAGGATCTCTGGACCCAGTCCGCCGCGAGATCCCGGCTTGCTCCGTCGCCCACTGTTGGGGGGTTGTCAACGCCGAGGCCGTCAACCTGCAACAGGCCAAGGCTGTGTTGCAGTTCATCGCGGCCAGGCTGGCCGACGACTGACGAGGCCCATGCTGGGTGGGAGCCTTGTCGCATCGAGTTGACGAAAGCAAGACCCATTATCAACATATTACCACACTCCTCCACGGGCATGTACTCGTCTTTGCCATCCGCATGACCTGTCGCGTTGGGAAAGTGTGATCCAATGTCATGCATGCTGTAGTCGTTCGGGTACTGGCCGCTCAGCTGGTGCTCCAGGAGCGGTTCAAGGAGGTATCCTAGCCACCTCGGATTGGTATAGATGAAAAAGGGAAACGCGGGGAAAATCACGTCGACTGTCTGGAAGTTGCCGTTGGACGAGATTTCCTTGAGAAAGAGCATTGGGTTCTCAGGCGTTCCGGAAAACTGGGTCGCTCCCAGAACCTGTCGAGCCGACAAGGAAACGATGCTACGATAATCGGGAGGGCCGGAGGCTTCGGCATCCTCGTCCAACTTCCGGGAGAAGTCGTTGGCGAATCTGGAAGCGATGTCAAAGTCTGCGTAGTGGTAACCGATCAAGTCGTGTGACGTCGCAAAGTAAGACGCCCATAGAGGACGCATGAACGTCAGCCCTCGAGCAGCGGCAAACTGGACAACAGGGTCCTGCACGAAAGCAAAAGTAAACAAAGTGCTCATGGTATTCAATGACGGCGGGCGTCCGCGATTAGCCTTGTCAGACAACCGGAAGATCTTGGAGAAGGCGAACACTGGCTCGGACTCATTCATAGGACGGTATTCACTGTCCACGTTGCCGGTGAGGCATCCACGGTGCGCGAAGCGATGGCGAACATCTGTTGCTGGGCCGGACATATGCTGAACATCAGAGGCGGCGCTGAAATGGAACGTTCCCCACTCGGCCTGGTCCGAAGTTTCGGTGAAGAGGAGCTGCGTGCGGCGAGATACGCTCCAGGTCTTTATTCCAAGCGTTTTCTTGTCTTTTGCAATGATTGCACGCGGCTCATGGAGTTGCCATTTAAGCGCGGCGTCTTCCGTGCCACTGACCCATTGCCCATTCACCTCGGTATAGACGCTGATATCCACGGAGCCCCGGACATAAACTGCCAAGTATGCTGCTGGAATGGATTGACGAAGAGTGGAGGAGGGAGTTAGTGGAGACACGAAAGACAAGGTAAGATCAACAGCGCCGTGAGATGAGTTCTCTACACCCAGCGTGTAAGTGAGGTTGGTTGTGGAGGCGTCGAAACTTGGCCCGTGGTAAGTGGGCAAGGAGACCGAATACCTGCCGCGACGGTCAGCGTCTGCCAGGCATGACTGGACAAAAAGTCCGACCTTTGCGCTTGTGACTGTGGGAGATCATCGTGCGATCTGCCGAGCAGGGGATACACGGTCTTTGTCTGAGGCAGAAAGGCCATCAGCGACAGGCCAATCTGGTATCAATTCCGCCCTGTCCGTCAGCTCACAGTCTTACACGCGGACGGGGGTAGCCACGAGTTGCCGTACCTCCTGGCCCGTCCAGAAGATGGGCCAGTGTTCCCATGGGGGGTCTCTGGCGCTCGCCAGCCATGTACTCAGATAGGGATTGCGGACGACGAGCGGGAGAACAGGTGGGTTTAGCGTTGCTGCCACAGCCGTGATCGTGGCAGCGACAGTCAACAAGGACCACACTACTGTGGCCATGGAAAGATGATAATGATACAGTGGTAACGGCCACCGGAGAGCAGGCTAGGCGCACACGCGCAGACACTGTCGAGATTGTTCACGCTGCAGCCTTGCGGATGGAGCAGACCGTGGTGGCTGCAATGCACGGCCACGGGGGACTCTTGCGATCCGAGATGAGAAATGGGCCAGCGACCGAGTCTCAGCGATGAGAGGCGCCTAGTTCCAGGGCCTTCAACGGGCTTGAGGTGAACCTGGTCAGGCTAAATGAGATGGGTGGTGACTCGACGGCGTGCTCAAGTGGCATAGATGACAGTCGACAATGAAATCCGTATCGCCAACACGGGAAACGCGGAGCTTCTTGAAGCAAAATCGGCGACGTGAAACGACGCGCAATGAGACTTTGGGTTTGGGTGTGACATCACTCTACTCGTACATAATATGCATCCCGGATTGGACAAGGTGGGGCTGCGACGACAAACGGGCGGTGAAACTCACGAGTGCGCCATCACGGCGGTTGGCAGTCCCTCGGCCGCCCGCAATTTCCTCACACATTGCCACGCTAGCATCGGAGTTGTGTATGAATCTCATCACCATGCGCCACACATGGAGACGGGAGCTCGGCAGGCGATTGCCTGCAAGGCAGCTGATGGATAAGAGTGCCGCATCAAGCTATCATGCAAGTATTTGGTCCGGCATACATCCAGGCGTTGGCATGCCATCGCCCCTTGCTACGCGCAGGCCGGTTTACCCATACCCGGGCCTTGCCCCTTTGCAGCGGCCTTCGACGTCTGATGGGATACGTGCGCTTATCCGGAAACACGTACCCTGCGAGAGTGCCCTCTGCCCGTATCGGTACAATCCCACCTGTCTCCCCTCGCAAAGCCAGGTATTGTCGTTCTTGCCCCACAACTGCTGTCTCGAACAAGACGTCGACAAGGATCGGATACGAGGATATCACAGTCGCGGCTCCGCCACAACCCGGGGCCAAAGAGCAACACGCATGATATCGGTCGCCGCCCAAGTACGTTGCTGCCTGCAAGGTTTCCAACCCTGGAACCCTGGTCGCCTATCCAACGACGCTACAGCTTGGCCTTGAGGCGGCGTGTTCCTCGAGCGACGAGGTTGAAATCCAGCTGCACCATGGCCGGGCGCTACCAGACATCTTCTGGGTCGACCATGTGGTTCTTGCCGTCGTCCCTGACATGTTGGCGTTGTTGATCCCGGCGCATTGACTTGCGCATGTCAAAGGCGTCCTCGCTGTCCTTGTCCGGATCAGTGGCATGATCCCCGTAGTAGTCCTTGACAACGCGGAAGACGCTGTAGCCTAAGCTCTCATAGAAGGCGATGGCCCGGTGGTTGCTCTTGCGAACAAAGAGATCGACAAACCAGGCGTCATTGGCGTCGGCTGCGGCCTCGAGCTGTTCCGTCAGGATTCTGCCAACACCCAAGCGGCGGGCTTCGGGGGCCACCGTGAGCGCTGTGATGTGCGCATGCCACGGTAGATAATGCTCCGAATACTTGTAAGCATCCGGAGACGACTCGACCTTGCCCATGACTGGCGCAAACGGTTAGCCATCTGCCTCTGTTGCGTGGCAAAGATCAGGCGCTGCTCACTGTACCCGACAATGTTGCCGTCCATGTCTTCGCAAACCTGAAAAAGCGATGGCCATTTGGTGTAGTACTGAAGGTAGAAGCCAAGCTCGTATGTCTCAGTCAACGGGTCGAGGTTGCATTTAGAGAACTTGTTGACGTCGTCAGGCCTGAACCGCCGGAAGCTCGCCATGGTGTGCGCGCCGTGACGCCGGGCTTGCGGATGCAGAATTGAATGGCTACGCGACTGCCTCAGCTCCCGCGGTGGTTCCGTGTCGCGACGGTGGTTTGGGTGGCGGCGACGGTGCTGGATGGCTGTCTGGTGGTAGGAAGGCTTTGGCGGGTGGCCTGCACGCAAGAATGGGACGTCTTGAAGCTTAGCTAATGGGCGTGGTCGCGCGGCGCAACCCCACAAGCCACAGGTGTAGACAAAGAGGCTGAGGTACCTCCCGTCCGTGGGCACCAGATGGGAGGCGCCCATGATTTGTTCGTCACTGACCCGCTCGTACCTGTACTTACCGACCCGAGCTTGGACGTCAGGCACGAGTGGGCTTGCACCTTTTGATCAATGGCAGTGGCGCACTGGCCTACGCACGCCAAGATCCCGAATGCTTGATATTGCAGTACCTGGTACTCGACTGGACCCCTGCCAAAGCCAAGGTATCCTCATCATGAGCAGGCCCCCCCCCGGGTTTGGAACGCAATCCCGCCAACTTCTGCTGATGCAAACGAGCACGCCGCCGCATCACCATCAACTCTCGGACCGAGGCGAAAACCGACCCGAGCCCGGTGGACAGACGCAGACGGGCATCCACCTGGCGAGTGCCGCCGTAGTCCTGAGGTTCTTATTCGAGTGACCGCCGACCCGAACGACTCAACAACAGCGTCCCTCCGAAAGGAGAGTCCACCGCTTCGAGCGTCGAGTTCACAAAGGGGGCGCATCATTCAGTTCTTGCTTTGTTGGTTGGCCCACGGGCTGGACTCGCGCCGCCGGCGGCCGTGACGGAAGGGCGCCTCCGCAATCGTTGCTGCGTTGCTGCTCTCACTCTCGCTCTCGCGTCCCAAATTCTCCTTCAACTACCCCTACCACGCCACCGGAATATTGGCAATGCCGTCCTCACCACGCACGCCGCGACACTCGCGCAACTCGTCGGCCATCGACAGTATTCAGGCGTCTCCGCAGGCGCGACGCCTCTCCAAGTCCTCCATGCAAGATGAAAGCAGCATCATCCACCAGGACTCGCTAGAGCTTCATATGCTTGGCGGTGTCACTGCTTCAGGTAATGGCATGGGGAACCTGGCGGACGAACTTGCCGATGCGTTTACCGACTCCGAAGACGGAGAGGACGATGAAGCCGGAAACGACGAGAAGGAGGGGCTGCCGCGTCATGGAGAGACGGGCGAGAACACTGATGGTCAACCCAATCCGGTCGATGCTGCAGCGACGGAACGACCCAAAGGCACGACCACAGGCGGCAGCTCGGTAGGTGATGGTGGCGCGCAAGGCAAGGACGGCACACTTGGCATACCCTCACCCTACAAACGGGTCCACCAGCGAAAGGGAAGCGAGTACGACGGCAGTGAATATGGTTCAGAATCTGATCTGGACGCCGCCGGGATGCCGCCTACGTTGATAGCCAAGATCGACGCCGTAGAATCTCTGGCTAGGCGCGGAACGGGGAGCTTCGGTGGGCCTGCAGACGACGTGTTACAACGAGTCACGGATGGCCTGCGGGACCTAGGATCGCAATCGACGGTGGAGGGGAGTGCCTCGAGGTGAGCCGCCTGTCCACTGACTTGCACCGACGCACAATTGACGCTCGTTGAAACATAGGCTGATAACAGCCCATACGGCGCTGACTACACACCTTGCCCACCAGACGCGACAGCTTCACAGCCTTACGTACCCGTTGCTGTCGCCTTTGGCGCCTCCGCCAGACGCTGACACCGTAGATGATGTCGTTCCACTGCTACTATCTCTGTCAGACGCCATGCCCCGACCATCAACATCAGCGTTCAACTCGCTCGCAGCGCTTCACTCCGTCACAGCAGAGTTGATACAGACACTGAGTTATCTCTCGGACACACTGCACATGTCGCGCCAAACCACTTCGACTGCGACGCGGAAACTCAAGAGCGCCAAGGAACTGGTGGCCGAGATGCGACGAGAAGACGAGCTGCGAGAGGAGGGCGAGCTGTGGCTCAGCCGGGGCAACTGGGGGGAGAGGCTACAGAAGAGAGAATGCGCTGGAGTGTGCGGCGAGGTCATTGGGGGCTTTGAAGACGTCTGCAACGGCTGGCGACAGCGACTCTTGGCGCAAGCCGAACCAAAGGCGTGATGCCAACAAGAGACATAGACTGGATCGGCTTACCGTTGGATTTTTCTTTGTTTTCTGCCAAGCTCCACGAGCGATGGGAATTTTCCTTTGTTGCCGCTAGACCGAAAGACTTTGGCAGAGATACAATTGCACAGAGACGAGCATTTGGCGAAGACGGAGGAGAAGGAGAAGAAGGGGACGAAGAAGAAGAAGGGCGTTGGGGGCTGGGATGACGAAGTCTGGCGCTTGATAGACCAGCAGGCTGCCCGAGGAGACGAAGAGGGTTGGGTGAGGCGCCCATGGATGTGGCGATAGCTAAGGTACTTCGTAGAGGGGCCTACCTGGCTAGCACCAGGATGTTTGGGTTTGGGTAGGCAGCTCACGTAGATACGGACGAGGTCTGGCGACTCGCGAAGCGGTCGAGATTTTGGTCGGCTGGACGGAGTGCCCGGTTTGCTTTGCACTAATAGCCCAGAATACCACGAACAAATACCCCGCACAAGTTGTACAGTAAGTGTGAATGGGCCTGTACGAAGGATGTTGGCTGTCATTGCATCGTCCCCAGTCGCATTCGTGGCGGTTGTGGTGGACAGCACTTAAACGCGCGACGCGAAACTGACGCGTCTCGTCCGAGTGGTCAGGCCGCGACGCCACGAAGGGAGGAGGAGTGGGGGAAGTTTGCGGGGCCATGATGGCAATGTGCGCGTCGACATTTTGGGCTGCGAGGGCGCTACGTACCTCCAGACAGCGTCCCGCAGAGCATCACGGATTCTGCGAACATACTTCGTACCCACAAGCACACTCCTGTGGGTTAGTTGGTTGCATCTGCATAGTTGTACATTACCCGAACAGGTTGGTTGTCGTGGTACTCTGCAAGGTTGGTAGTTGGCCGGCGTGTGATGCTCCTTCGTACTTAGTATGTACACGCTGTAATAAAGTGACGCATATGTACAGTATCGCTTCGAATGGAAGAAAGCCACGAACTGTTACGTAGGCACTTATCCGCACTTGTTCGGCAGTTTGCAGGCACAATTGGAGCTGTAGTGTTCGGACTCTTGGGCATTAGGTTCGCCGTGTCTCGCACAAGAGATGGACTCAGCGAGGAGCGGAAATAAGGCAAGGGAGGAAGACAGCTGCAGAAGCCCCCGACTCGTCTCAGCGACAGGGTGGCGGCGGCCAACCGTTCAGCTTGGCGCGTGCCCCACGCGTCCGCAATGGGTGGCCAGGCGTGATGCCTACAGTAGCTAGACGGACCGAAGTACCAACCTGGCACAAGGTAGTGGCGCCGCGCGCACCTCCCTCGTCACAGGAGGAGATATAAACAATAACAAAGCAAAAACAAACACAGCGGCTGGCCCGCCTCGCCGGCGTCGTACACACGCTTGCGCAAAAAATGCAGCAAGCACCTGCGAGATCAGCGGTCGAAGACAGCCACCAACAACAACAACTACAGACGGCTGTATGCACCCGTCTCTACGGGTGGTCGTAGTCTGGCACTCACAGCGCCTACACGTCCGGGCCTGGTTGCTGCTTGATCGATGATGTCGCAGAGCAATGCCACGGCTGTGCGAGATTTGGTGGGCGTGAAGCAAACTGTGCTAATTTGAACGCTTCGTTCACATGCCGGCAAGACTGCCATTGGATTATGATTTAGCATCGAGAAGCCCCCCTTCCCCCGGCCTAGGGAACGTGGCGGTTTGGCAGCGTTTGTCTACGCTCTACTATACGTTGGCGCCTTGATGGGCGAGCTTCACCTGTGCCCAAGTTGCCTGTCGTCCTTGGTCATCATTGCTGCCGGCGAGGCCACAACCACTGTGCGGCCGCCTTTGGCAGCAGTGATGAGATCGGTCATGGTCAATGATTGTGCGCTGGCTCAATCTCCTCATTCCACCATGTCGGCGCTTCTGTATCTGTATTCATGGCCGTGCAATGTCGATACGACAAAATGGCGATTGGCAACGGCTGATTCTACCTGGTCTGGTGTGTGATGAAGGAATCTGACAATGCCATTTCCTCGCTGCGACTACTACTAGGTAGATAGGTACCTACAGGTAAGGTGAGGTACTTCGTGGTAGTGATTGTTAAGGTACTCGCCTTACCTTCGTACCTAAGTGGTATCGTTAAAACATCTGCAGCAATAGTCTACTAGTACTACCTATCTAGTTGGGACTCAAGGCTTGTGGCCCCTTCTTGTAGTTAGGTAGCAAGGCTGCCCGGATTGAAATATGGACGCCGTCAGTCGGTGCTTCCATTGATCGTGGCTGGAACCCGCCGCGGGAAACACCTCTCTCTCAGCAGCGCCCTATCGCGGCGCCAGCTGACAACGAGCTATAGGCGTCAAACAACAACAGCACGGACGCGGCGCGGCCGCTGGCACAGCTGCCGCGCCTTGAGCGACATGCTGTCACCCCTCGAACGCTGCAGCGAGGCAGGTACCTACCAGGCGTCCCCT